CGCTCTTCCCAAAATCTGATCCAAAAGGTGTTGTTAATGGCAGCCATCCCACCTGACTATTCGTTGTAACACGCCTCGTCCTGCAGCCTGTTAACAGTGGTTTCTTGAGGGTTTTTTTAACCCTAATGGGATTTTATTTATTTAAGTGTTCTTCTTCCTGAACTTTGGTGACGTGACTTTTTCCAGTCAGTAGTTTCTAAAATTATAAGAATCAATATTTCTTAGCGGGAACTATGCCTCCACCTTATTTTTCCCCCCTTTCTTTACTGACTTGGATATGTGCAATGAGGTTAACAGCACTACAGTCATTTTCCCTATTCATACAAGGCAAAAGCTTCCAACAAAGTTTTCATTTTAATTCCACAAAAGGTTAAATCTGAAACTTTGCATTACGACCCTGTAAAATATACCAAAGCAAAAAGGTGTCTGTACTTACACAACTTGGTATTTGTCTTCAAAAATACATTTTCCTGACTTAAAGATATTCTTTCACACAGGGTATTGCTAGAACCCAAGTAACAGACACATAATAAAAGCCCACGTGATGATAACAGAATAATGCAAGATAGTCCAGAGGCTAAAACTCCAGTATAGACCAATGGAAAAAAAACCACTTTTTGAAATTATTTAAATTAGACTTTAGAACCCTGCAGAAATTAAGCAATAAACAATTACATAAATATAATATATTTTAACAGAGATTTCAAATGCAGAGAGAAATTAATGTTTTTTATAGACATCTGACTCCTTTTTAATGAGCTGTACTTCGTTAAATTCCTTCTTTATACTGTAGCAGTTCTACCCTTGGAATGTTTTCCTAGCTAACTTTCAATTTTTTTTTATTCACCTAATAAAACTCACTTGATTTTTTTTCCCTACTGCAAAAATTTTTGTAATGAATGGCCTCATGAAGCAGCCCCAGCCTTTGAGTTAGAGGTCCTTTATCATCCCATCACCTTTCATTTGGTGTAAAGACATCATTCTCAACTTCAGCCAGTCGATACCAAGACACAAAACTTTGCATATCCCTAAATGACATTTCTCACTCAGTGTCTCTTTGTCAAGTTCTTAAGATACTTTGCAGAGTATTTATTTATTATGGCAAGACATCCTGGTTTTGGGTAAGACCTGATGACCACCCATTTATCCGTATGATTGAGTTATTTGAGCTTCGCCACAAATTCATTTCAGTGACAGCCAGAAATCAGCCCTGAGCTTTCCCACCTGAGCACTGTGGATGCTCCCAGTATCTCCACATCGGTACCTGGGAGAACGGATCACACACGACAGAGAACCCTGGGGCAACAGCATGCACGGCGATGCCTCCTGTGCTATCCCCCAGAGCTGGAATCCATCCCCTCCTTCCCTTTCGTGTTCCTCTGCAATACACACCCTTTTTTCCCCATCAGCAATATAAAATATTCAACAAATGTATTTATGATACAAACTTACAAACGATACAAAATGGGAATTCTGCTTTTAATGGCAGGCGGTAGATCTGCTTCCATGCCGTTGTTTTTTGCGGCACTACACAAACTGCCGGCACCTTCAGGCAAAGAGTTTGACTCTTCTATGCTCTTAAACTAGATAAAGAAAGCATTCTTCTGTATAAACCAAAACCAAGTCACAAGTATCTTTCAGTCACACACAGAAACCACCTCTGAGCCATGACAATCGTGATTCCACCACTAGGAAATAAAAGAGAATTTCTATGTATTGGCAATGGGCACAAACTGAAGCAGAGGAAGTTCCATCTGAACACAAGGAAGAACTTCTTCCCTCTGAGGGTGACGGAGCCCTGGCCCAGGCTGCCCAGGGAGGCTGTGGAGTCTCCTTCTCTGGAGATATTCAAGACCCGCCTGGACAAGGTCCTGTGCAGCCTGCTCTGGGTGACCCTGCTTCGGCAGGGGGTTGGACTGGGTGACCCACAGAGGTCCCTTCCAACCCCGACCATGCTGTGATTCTGTGATGTCTTTGCTTCCTCTTTATAGCCAGACCTTCTCCTGTGGCACCTCACCATGCAGGCAGCACCCAGCGAATGGAACGTGGTGGGACTCCTCTGAGACTCTGCTGGGGATGCTGCCCAGCCAGCCATCACCACTCCTCCTTACCGGTGCACATGTGTGCAAGACCCAGGGCGCTGCCAGGATGGCACCAAATTAATTGCATTCCAGAGCAGCTACCCTTGTCACCAAAACCCAGTGTGGTGGAGACTCCACTTTTAGTCTACCAGAGGAGGCATTCAACCACGGTACCTTACTACTGGCAGATGTCTCTGACTTCTGAAAGCGGTTGAGAG